CATAATAGGGCCAGGAACACTAATCCAAGCCAATACGAATTATTGGTAGAGCTACTCAGCAAAAGGGAAGATATCGCTGAAGCATTTGTTAAAAAAGTCGAAGTGAAGTGGAAGACTTTTGGAAGCAAGCCGCTAACGAGCTGAATGCTTTGGGGCACCCATGCAGGGACTGGGCAGGATGGCGAAAGGTTACATATACAATTGATGACAATTGGCTTTAAATATTTTTTAACTTTGCGTATTTATTGTTTTCAGACATGGCTTGATTGGAAGAGCTACGTTAAAAAGCTTTCCCACAACAAAAAGGAATCTCGAGCTACTGGAGGGGGTAGTTTTAATAAAAGGCCCATAAGCTCCTTAGAAGAGAAGGTGATTGCGCTGACCGGGCTAGAAACTTGCACCTCAGGCCTTCAAGGTGGGTTAAGCTTCGGTGGAAGGCAAGAGGTAGCGGAAGCCAGTAGCCAAGCTGCCAGTAGCCAAGCTCTTGCTACAAATACCGGCGAAGAAATTGTGGAGCCAAATGCTACAGAGAACGGATTCGAGTTTGAAAACTGCGACACTGTTCCCACTCCTAGAAGGAGGCGGTATATAAGCTCGACTGCGGAAGCAGAAAACTACGAAGCTGCTCCCACCCCCAGAAGGAGGCGGCATGCAGCCTCGACTGCTGAAGATTCGCGTAATCTTTTAAGTGACCAAATAAGCATGCAGCGCGAATTTTATAAAAACCAATGTGATCATAATTCGTAAGTGTCAAGTAGCCTGAAAAGAGTTTATCGCGGCATTGAAAAACTATGTGAGATTGAAAAAGAAAAACTGAAAGAATTTAAGCGACATAATGTAGTAAAAGAAATTGCTTTAAGAGAGCGCAATAAATTAAAAAAAGAAGCGCTTGAATTGAAAGATAAAGCACTTGAATTAAAGCAAGCAAAATTTTAAGCGAAATAGACATGTAAATATTAAACTTATATTTTTAGTTAATTATTTTTTTTTTTAGGGAAATGGGATATACATATTTATTTTCTTTTTTAATAAACAAAGATGAAAATAATTGAAGTTAAAGGACACAAGTTTGCAGATATATATATATGCAAGATATATTTTAGGTAAATTTACACATTTAAACCTTTTTTTATGGTATACTTTCACTCACAACACAAAAGTTGCGAGAATTCTTTGGCGTATTCGTTCAGCATCACTCCGAAGACTCTCAAATTCCGGGTCATAATCGGGCTCAATTTCTTCCACGTCATCTCTTTCAGGCATCGGTTCAAATTGGTCATCGTGGAAGTGAATACATATTAAACTCCTGCGCAATTCCATTTAAACGGCCTAACAAGACATCCGATCGCCGCGCAAATACTTTCCCTCCTTTACTCTCATCGTTCGGGTCAAGTGTGGGTAAAAGCCCAAACAGTCAACTACGTAGCGTAGACGTAAGTTGACGCAGACACGATCTACCTTATGGGATTCGCGTGTTAACGAAAACTCACCACCGCATGGCGGTGACGTTGCCGTTGCTTCTCTCTCTCTCTATCAATAGTAAATTTGATATGCTGCTACGTACGTCAACCTACGTTTACGCTACGTCGTTGACTAACTGCGCTTTAAGCATAAACCAGTTTCTGCAAGCGTACGTAAACTACCGATCAATAGCAAGACGCGTAGAGTATTTACTTTGTCCTCCGCAACTACTGCGAGTAAAAGGTATTTGACAGTCGAGTACTCTACTGGTAGTACTTGAGTATTTTACTCAACACCGCTTTAAGCTGTCGCACAGTGTTATAAAAAAAAAAACTATCAAAAAAAAATCAGTGATCGTTATGCTTCTTCTGAACGACTTCATACATAAGCTGTCAAATTCAACTCTCAAAGGTACAAACCAACATGTTGTCTCAAATGATCAGAAAAATATTACGATCATCTAACACGCAACTATTCAGTTGATCAGAAGTACGCAACAACGCGTTCAGAAGGTGCAATCGCACCAGTTACTGAGCTGTTGCGTCTTCTGAACGTGCCCAATGAAAATTCGTTTCTTTTGAAATCAACCCCCTTATTCTAGAACCCGAAAAATCCACATGCTGCAACCCTTGCGGAAACATGTGCAGCATTGCCAGCTATCAGTTGTTTTTCGAAGATAGCTGAATGAAGGAAAACAAAGTGGAAGGGAATTAAAAAAACACTCATCATGTGCTTGTTTATTGTAAAATTGGTTAATTTTACATATTTTGACGAACATTATGGATTCTGATGTATTTGCAATTATAGCAGCAGAGTAAGCGGCCGCTATGGCAATGGATTCACAAAGGTATGCGGAGCTGTCGGGCATAGTAACCATGGGCGCATCTATGTCAGCTTCTGGTTGAATTGTTGAACCACAAGCCAGAAGTACTCATATGCCTGAAGAACTGGTTCTCAATGCAGTTAATGCAATAACAGCTCCTTCCAAGCCATTGAAAACATGCACTTTGTTAGGTCCAACACCTGTTGCATTTGCTTCTGCCATCGGCCGCGCTTAGGGATTATAACCCTTACTAAGTAGAATTCTCCTTTCTGTGTTGCCGGAGAAGAGGGGCTTCCGCATGTCAAAGCTATACGACATTTCTTGTGCATATCACTCCGGCTACGCCGTCCTCAGTATTTTTGCGCAGAACCCACGTCGAAATTTGCAAAAAAGTGCATAGTGCAAACCGAGTTTATTAATAAGCTAATGGTAGGAAATTTGAAACATTTATCTTAAATAAAATGGGAATCCTTTGATTACACGTGTATGTTAAAGTTTTTGAATTCGGGTTATGCGTTTGGACACAACAACCGAAAATCGTTGTACATTAACTAAACCGGACCCAAGTTTCTCGATAAGGGGCCACAAATATTATTTTTTGCTCGTTTATATAAAGCAGTGGATAAAAATATACGTATATGCGAAAGGCAAATTTATCTATTTAAATGAACACCACCAATATTTCTTGCAAATACACATCGATTTACATCTTTTATTTCGCCTCCGACACAGAATTGTTTTCGTACAAAATTACGCAAAAAAGCTTACTCGCTCGTTTTTAGGCATGCCATTGTTACGAATTTCGAAAGTTCGAAAATACGATTCGGATTGCAGCATACTATTTCTACGATTCGTAGCAAAATCCGAATACGAAAGAGTTGCAGGGTTGTAAAGGCTCTCAAGAAAAACTAAAAATTCATATAAAATTACGCACAATAAATGGAA